AATGTCAAATAGTAGAAAAAAATTACCTCAACAAAGTTAGGCAAGACACTTACCTCAATTCGGCGAACAATATACTCAATTTAGCTTCTTCCTTTACAAATGCACCTCCGCCCGGCTCAATCTATCCAAAGACAACTTAAATATATAACACAATGCAAGAGAAAATAATATCAATTAATAAAGCTATGACCTTTAAACAATTTTAAAAAAGTCAACAAAAGTCAACCTAGGGTCCTCCCGATCCAAACTCGGGTCCAAGCAGAATTGACTACCCAAAGCGCCACGAGTCCATATACGTCTTTTGTTTTCAAATTCGAGTCCTATTCGACTCTCAAATCCCAAATTTTCATTTTTCAAAGATTTGACAAAATCCCCTTTTTCCCTAGATTCTGATGAATTTGATGTTAAATCTTATAATCACAAAATATAAATGAAAGTTGATTAAAGTTACTTACCCGATAGTTTGGTATGAAAATCCTTCTGCAAAATCGCGTCTCATCAAGGCTAGGGTTCAAAATATAACAAAATGAATCAAAAACCTGAATTACACAGCTGAAAACAAGCACTAGATGTCGCATTTGCGATCCAGGGTTCGCAAAAGTGCATTTGCGATCCAGGGTTCGCAATTGCGAACCCTCGCAAAAGAGAAGAAGCCTTCGCAATTCCGAACAAGAACAGGCTGGAAAAAGCTCAATTGCGACAAAATGTTCGCAATTGAGAACTAGGATTCACAATTTCTATAAAAATGTTCGCAATTGCAACTACTCCAGAAACCAGCAGTTTTCCCGAGACGGAAATGAGCATAACTGTCTCATACGATGTCCAAATTCGACAATTATTTTTGCTATGACTCCAAAATTACGATGCAGATCTACTGCTTAAATAAACACTAAATTTGGATCTCATTTGATTAATATGGAACCATTTATGCATGAGGAAACGACGTCGAAGCATAAAAAACAAGGGAAACACAAGCTAAACCTATCCGAAACTCACCTAAGCCACTCTGGACCTCGTCCGAACATACTAACAAGTCTTGTAACACAACAGAGACCTACTCAAGGCCTCAAATCACATAAAATAACGTCGAAATTAAGAATCGCACCTCAAATCGAACTTAATGAACTATTAACTTCTACAACTCGTGCCGAATCATATCAAATCAACCCGAAATGAACTCAAATCTTGCACACAAGTCCCAAATGATATACCAAAGCTTTTCCAATTCCCGAAACTACAATCCGAATCCAATATCCTCAAAGTATACTTCCGGTCAAACTTATGAACTTTCCAAACCTTTAAGTTTTCAACTTTCGCCATTTTGGTGCCGAATCCTTCTAGAAATATCCAAATGCAAATCCGGGCATACGCCCAAGTCAATAATCACAATCCGGACCTAAAGGAACCATCAAAACACTAATCCAAGGTCAAATTCTAAGAAGTCAAACTTGGCCAACTCTTCCAACTTAAAGTTTCAATCTTGAAGCTCATTCTTCCAAATCGATTCCGAATAACATGAAAACCAAAACCTGGGATTCCCAAAAGTCATAATACATCATGTGGAGATATTCGTGCCCTCAAACTACCGAGCGAATTGCAAACACTCAAAATGACCATCGGGTCGTTGTAAGTAAGTATCTGGTCTACCCTCAAAGAAGTAGTACCGAGGGGTCGACATCGGCACTTACTATTGGTCCAATAATTAAAGTACAATAAAAGTAGACAACTATGAAGCATAACAAAATAAAAGCAACAAAAACAGATATATGTGTATAGCACGATCCACAATAGATTACCGAATGCTACCGCGAATGGAATATATATGACCAATGTTAGGTGTAAACATCAAAAATCCGTGTTAGGATACTCATATATGCAGGGACTCCCTATTGAAATATTACGCACTATTCTACCGAGGTGAAGACCAGATTCCAAGTGATTGTACAATACCCCGTCGTGGTCGTACGTTCCGCTCCTATAATACCGCCAAGGTTGTACGGCCTGATCCATAAAGGCATCTCATAACAATGCCAAGGTCGTACGCCCGATCCATAGAGATATTTCATAATAGTATCGAGGTCGTACGGCCCGATCCATAAGAGTAGTGTTGAGGCATTAAGCCCGATCCCATAAGAATACTAATACTTTGACGGGTCATTAACCCAACTCGTAAATATATGTGCAGGTTATGAAATCAAAAAACTTTCAGACAAATAAGTACAATGTGGGAGTAATCTGTAAGAAAAAGTGTAATTTCCGCGGCAAATCAGGTAGCGCGCCAAGTTTCTAGAATAGTAAAGCTCGATACTCTATGCAACTGTAGTCTCAGGCTAACACATAAATTGAAGCATTTAAACAAGTAGGAATAACTCAAGTAGTACAGTTAAAGCGTGGTGTGAGTCTATGTCTACCCGGACGTAATCAAGAATCTAGCATACGCATGGACGCTCGTCACCTCATACGTGCATAGATCACATAACACATAGCATGTAACAAATATAGCACCTACGAGGATAAATGCCCTCTTACAAGGTTAGACCGAGGTTTACCTTGATCCAAATTTTAATAATCGGTTCAAACGCCTCCCAAACACCTCAAACCAAAGCCAAATGATCCAAAACTAGCCAAAGGAATGTGCAGACCAATCAATATATGATCAAGAACTCATAATTTAACTATTAGAATAAATTCCAAACACCACTGAGAAAGTTAACAAAAGTCAATCCCCATGCCCATCCGTCCGGATTCCGAAAGTTCTCGATGATAAATATTACCCATAGGACCGCGAACTCAAATATATAATTCATTCCAAAATCCATACCCGATTTCGTGGTCAAAACTCAAAAATACCATTTCTAGGTTTTCTTCAAAAATCCCACAATTTCTATGAATTTTCATGTTTAAACCATATATAATCCATGTATTTAGCTGACAAATAAGTAGGACTCACTTACCTTGTGATAGATGATGAAAATGACCCTCCAAAATCGCCCCAAAATTGGCTCCAAATGAGAGAAATGAGATGAAATGAGCTAACCTGATTTTGCAACTTATACACTGCCTAGTCGTTCCTCTTTGCAATCGCGGAAGTACCCTCCTGATTGCAAAGGAAAACACTACCTCATCCAAAATCCTCTTTTACGCAAACACGAAGGACCACTCGCGATCGTGAAACATAGCCATCCAAGCGTATGAGAATGTGAAGGCCAATCCTTCTAGTCTAAAAAGTTTCTCTTCCGCGATTGTGAATGAACACACGAGATCGTGATGAGTAACCTTCCAATCCAGAAAAACCCCAGTAACATATCGTATTTGTGACCCACCATGCAAATGCGGAGCATAACCAGACCACCAATCGCGATCACGATTCCCTTACGTGATCATGAAGAATAATTCTTCTCCAGATCCACACAACACTTTGTGATCGTGAGAACTGCTCTGCGATCACGATGCATACCACTGACACCAACAACTGCAAATCAAAGGGAAATGTCCTGAAACCATCTCGAAACATAGCCAAGGCCCTCGGGACCCTGTCCCATCGTACCAACAACTTACCATAACTTATCCAAAGGCTCGAAATGCCACAAATACAATCAAAAACAAGAATCAACGATCAAAATCTTTCTTTTAACTTTCAAACCTTCAAATTTCTTCGAACGTGTCCGAATCACACTTAGCTATTTTGCGACCAAAAGTCACACACATGTTCTAATCAACTAAATGACCTATCCGAGGTCCGGAAACACCACCCGGAGTCCGATAACACCAAAGTGTACTACAAGTCAAACATTGCTAATTAAAAAATCTTCTAAATGCAAACTTCCATTAATAAACGCCAAATCGCTCTCGGACCACCCAATACTCAACCCTAATACATGAACCAATAGGAACCTTCAAATCCCAATTATGATGCCGTTTACTCAAAAGTCAAACATTGGTCAACTCTTCCAACTCAAAGCTTTTGAATTGAAAATTACTCTCCCAAATCAACTCCTAATCTCTCTAAAATCGAAACCAGCCACATACGCAAAACATAATGCATAATGTGAAGCTACTCAAGGTCTTAAACCACCACGACAAACTAAAGCTCAAAATGACTTGTCGCGTCGTTAAATTCTCCCTCACTTAAACATACTTTCATCCTCGAACATGCAAATAATCGTTCCTATGTTGCCAAAAATCACTAAATAACTCATAATACACATATTCATGGGTGATCTCATGTCACCTCAATCCATATGATCCCACCGACACAATCCTGACTGAAATATTTTCCTTTAACCTAAGATGGAAATGCTTAGAACCAAATTATAACTTACGGAGCTCCCTCAAGATTCGATTCTTTTATATATATATATATATATATATATATATATATATATATATATATATATATATATATATATATATATATATATAAAAACACACACACATACACTATCAATCTCAACAGGCTGTACCAAAGCATAATTATACACCCAAGTTGTAACCGCACGCTGTACCGCATAACTCATATGGCCGTAGTAATATATTTCAACCACAATAGTTGCTCATTATCGAACCCGATAACGATAATGAACTTCATGACTTGTAAAAATCCCGTTCCAACCCTTGCAATACTTCAATGATGAAAGAGATGTACAGAAACTCATAATCACCCGTCAAATCAATAAGTCGTGGAGTTCTCTCACTTGACAAGAACTATTACTAAATTCTAAGTTTATTAGAGAGATTCTTTCTCCAAACATACATTATACAAATATGATTGTGTTGATTCTAGGTCAGATAACCTCGTCACACCCTGTACAAGCTGCTTAACCGACAAGCACCATCAAAATCTCATACGATGCGATCCATGCTTCACGCCCTGACCTCGGGGAGCTTGACCGGCGCTCAACCGCGATAATCCGGCCGAGCAAGAATGTTCGATACTTTCTACCCGAACTTACCCATGAATAAAGATATGATCTATTTCATTAATTTAGACAATGAGAAGGTTACATGAAAAATCCAAATTTCATTACCGTTAGAACTTCATTCAAGATTTTCCAAAATATTACATTACATATTCATGGTCTAGTAGGGAAACATATGATACAAATACAACATTTCTAACTTGAATTCCCAAAACATAGGTTCCACCCACGCTATTACGGAGCCTAATAGATATAAAAGAGTAGCATGATGGTGCCGGCAACAAGGCTCCGGCTGTACCTCAAAACACTAAACATAGAGGACGGGAGATACAAGACACCGGATGAAGTGGGGCTCACCAAGTCAGCTGAGGAGAGGGTGTACTGTTGTCACTGATCAATGCCCCCTATTGTGGAACCACCTGCATCCGTTAAAGATATAGCGCCCCTGCCAAAAGGGATGTTAATACATATGGAATAGTACTAGTATGAAAACCAAACACCCCCTTCAAAGATTGGAAGTACAACATGAATATGACGAATTATAGAAGACATGAAAGAACCTAAATAGCCGTTAAAACCCATAGCAAGTTCATTTGAAGCTATCAATAAAATTTATGAATTTCAAGTTGGGGATCTTGTATAACAACTTCTACCATAGTACCACAATCTCTACACAAAGAGGCCCTACCGCCTCATCCCAATGTGTGGGTGGAGGTGTTATCACAATACCACAATCTCTACACAAAGCGGCCCTTCCGCCTCACCCCAATGTGAGCGGGTAGAGGTGTAATCACAATGCAACAATCTCTACATAATGCTGCCCGGCCGCCTCACCCTAATGTGTGTGGGTGGAGGTGCAATCACAATGCCATAATCTCTACACAAAGCGGCCCTGCCGCCTCACCCCAATATGTGTGGGTAGAGGTGTAATCACAATTCCACAATCTCTACACAAAGCGGCTCTACTGCCTCACCCCAATGTGTGCGGGTGGAGGTGTAATCACGATAATAGTTTGTACAAAACATTTCTTTTCAAATCAAACCCTTTGGAACCTTTGACCTTAACAAGTATAAGTTCATAAGATTTAATTATATGAGACATATGAATTTGACCACACTGATTTTGTACAAAACTTTCTTCCCAAAAAGGGATATAACATAATTAAATCAAAATAGAGAATCATTAACACACAAAGGTTTGACACATTATGCAACTTGGGAATCAATTTACTAGCTTGAATATCCCACCTCAATGGTGTTTCAAGTCCAAACTACACATGATGGATTTTTGTAAGAATACGTGAATTCCGATACTAAAAGAAGGGTTTAGCCTTCATACCTCGAAAGAGCTTTCGTGGTGTAACAATAACATCCCGACACTCCTAACAATGCCAATGTATAGAAGAGGGGGGAATTTACAAGCACGATTAGAGGAATTAGTATGGCAAGAGCTGCTACAATGACAACCCAACCTTTCCTTCACCAATTCAACAACAAAACCACCCAAGATTGTCCAACACCTTTCCCACACTCCCTATAATCTCATGCATGTGATATGTCTACTCTCATAAACCATAAACAACCCAAAATTTGAAATTGGAGAATTGGGGGAAGAAATTCTTACCTTTTAGAAACCCTAGCAAGTTTCGCTTGATGAAATTTCAAGGCTTGATCCAAGTTGAGAAGTGAAATTCTTGAATCCTCCCCTTTCTCTCTCTAGAATAACTCTCTCCTCTCTCTAAAATATCAAATAACCCCTCAAAAATGACCCCTATGGCTAGATAAAATGAAATGGGGTCGGGTTATTTAATCAGAAAAATGAAGCCCCGATGCAGATCTGCGGTTGCATATACGACTGCATAACACTTCTGTGGTCCGCAAAATGGACTGCATAATGGCCCTTCAGAGCTAGGAATTTATGTGCAGGTGTGTTACAAGTCTGTTGTCCGCAGACCAATTTTGCGGTCGCATAATGGACCGCAGAACCTCCTTTTAAAATTTTTCATGCTGGATCTGCGACAGTTGTGCGGCCCGCGAGATGCTATGCGACCGCATAGCCGACAACAAAACAACCTCTAAAACTGGCTCATTTCTCTACTTCACTCTGTGGCGGATCTATAGTCCGCAGATTAGTTCTGTGGTCGCATAATGGACCGTAGAAACGTCCTGTTCTGCAGCAATTTTTCTTCAACTCCCTACTGTACTGTTCAAATACATTAGCCTACCTCGACACCACGTAACCTTGGGTTTTAGGTGAAACTATTACGAGGTCTTACACATGTGCCAACAAGCCACAACTTGAATTTGACCAATAAGGAAAGGAAACCCAAGTACTAGAACTATCCAGTTCGCGTAACAAATAAAAAAACCAAACAAATGCTATGAATCTAACTCACAGAGGAGAAACAAAACATGCATGATAAGTACAAGAAATCATACCCAACATCTCTTTGTTACAGCATGCAACTCGATTAACATATGATACCGTTGTAGCGTGTAACCTGATCCAAACATGATACCATTGTTGTGTGCAACCCGATCTGATCATCATACTCATGGAGGCGTACTACCCGACACATAATACTCTGTATGAGAATACCCATCAAGCCAAAATGCTCATATTTACTAGATACACGTAGATCAACAACAAGCATGTTAAGTTCATAAACATAACCTTGGGATATGGATAACATAATGCGCTATAAAAAAGCCAAGCATGACGAAGGTGCTATAAAAAAATCATCATCTCGAGATCCATCTTGCTCATATATCACCACAAGTCCTACATAGGACCACCACCTGCGTGTGATTAATCAAGTCGCCTCACTACCCACATAACATAAAAGATTAATGCATGAGATAGATGATGGCATGAGCAAGATGGATCTCAAGTCGTGGTCTAATCTCAAGTCGTGGTCTAATCCGACACGCAACCAACTTCCCAAATCCGTAGAAAACCCAATCTCAAGTCGTGGTCTAATCCGCCATAACTCTTTGGGACCCATTTGCAAAAAATCAAGTCATCATAATTGAATCCTCTAAATCAACCAAATCACGGAGACTGCCAAGCCCACAACAATTGGCACGAAACACCTGTATAGCCTTATCATATCGAAGGAACAAATCATTTCCCTTACCGTGTTGATTCAAGCAACAGCTAAATTGACCCCACTTCTTAAGATTCTCTTGACATGCCTCCAAGATAACACCTCTCTTTACCAGCACACAATGGATCTCTATCAGTGCTCATCCCGAGTGATCCCAAATCACAGGAGCACATCGTCTCAATACCAATAAGCCATATTTTAGCAACTGATACACCCGTTCCGAAGAGACCTTTAGCAAATTCGAAGCTGTTTCTTACATATCTCAAAAACTATATCACAGACCCGATAATGATATAGAAATAATCCAAGTCTTTTTCACAATCCGCAGAAATTCTCAACCCTTAGTCACACAACCAACCCGAAAATCCTTAGGCACCGGCCCACTAGAACCATTTTTGAGAGTCGCCCACTCTACGCTAGTCCCGAGTAAATAACCAAAGAAGCCAAATGACTAGCTCTGTTAAGACATAGATAATCTAAAAGAAGCAATCAAACAATTCCTTCCCCTTTCACATCACTTCCACAAAGAAATATCAAATCTGATTCATCATATAACCTCTACAATTCGATGAGGCAAATGTAACACATATCTATCAAATTCCTTGCTCGAGTTACACCTAATGCCCTCTTTCTCAAGCCGTAACCTATCCATTGACGTACCGAAACCCAGAAACTACAAAAAAACACATGACCATGTGACCCAATCATCCATGGTATGCTCCCCCGCTTGGCTTTAAGCCACAATCACATAACCCAAGAATTCACAATGACTTTTCTTCCTTTATTACCATGACCTCGCCTTGTTACTCAATTGAATTTATCATAAGTTCATGTTGCACTAATCATAACACATCCCGAATTATCAGCCCCAAATGCAAAACCTCATAACAGTTGTGCCATCTTCCCCAAGCGATCCAGAGCCACATCGTAGTAAATACGTCCCATTGCATAAAAGATAGAACTCTTCAAAGGAATCCTATAAGAAATCATGTAACCCTTATCCTTCTCACAGAAGATAGACCACCTGTGTAACCTCATATCAACATCCTCCAACGACATCACCATGAGTATAACTACTATGCAATCTGTTAATCCTCATGAGTCCACGCCCGTCCACTAGCTGTAAGGATCTGTTCATTCCCTCAACATCAACTGAAGGTCCAACAATACGTTAAAAACTCGAAGCTATATTGTATCCCAAAATAATAATGATGCATTCACATTCCCTCTACATTCCAAACAAATATTTTCGTCACATTCGAACTTTTTAAGTATAGAATCCACCATCTCAAATTAAACAAACAGACTAAGTCATTTGTCCACCATGATCTAAATCACACTAAGGTTTCTTAAAGCATGTGGCTACCCCACCACAAAATCCATAATTATATGCTCCCATTTCCACACCGATCTGGTCATCTTCTTAAGCAAACTACTCGATCTCTGCTACTCATTCTTGACCTGCTAACAATTCAACCACCACGAGACATATCCAACAATGTCCTTTTCATTATTAGCCACCAATAATATTGCCTCATATCACAATTCATCACCATAACACCCGAACAAATAGAATTCCATCAACTCTAAGCCTCCTCTAGGGTCATCTCCCTCGAACCATCAACACAAGAATCATCGATTTGACCCTGAAGTCGCAACACACCGTCATTCCTAATAAGCTCTTCTTGAGCACCACATCGCAACAATGTATCCCCAAGGACAAGCAAAGGATGTCTACCATACTGACGGCCCTTAGTGCGCTCAACAAGGATTATTGTATAACACACTACTAGAAATTGGAGCTATGGCAACGCTTTTTATCGCTACGGATCAGTAACCGTTGCTATAGATGGTGTATTGTTACGGTTTGAACCGTTACAAAAAAATATTGGAACTACCGGGACACTTATTAACCGAACTGTAGCAATAGTCTTAAAATCGTTCCTATAGAGGTATCTATGGAACGTTTTTTATAACCGTAGCAATAAACCCCTTTATTGTAACGGTTATACCTATTGTTACGGTCATTAATTCCCTCCTTATTTTTCAGCGAAATATTCTATGCCTGCTAAAATTAAAGGGGCCCACAATCTTATTTTCAGTTTTTATTTTTTAACTTTTATATCTAATAGAATACTAAATCCCTAATTTTAATTTTACCGGAATTAACGAGGAGAGAGGCGATTCCATCATCAGACTCATCTTCTCCAGGTTCGGATTCGATCCAAGCATCCATCAACACTTTCTCCAAATCTGAAAATCGTTAATTGGAAGGCTTAATTTCGGACTCCAGGCTCAATAACAGAAGCGGCGTGCTAATTTCTCCAAATCTGAAAATCGGTAAACAGGTTACTCTCTCCTTTTGATATCATAACTCGTGTGGTTGTTGAAGGCTTATTTTTTAGCAGTTTTTTTAATTTTTTTTTTTTTGTTTAAATTTTTGGGTTGTTTAAATCGTAAGTCAGCTGTTGCAGATTTTATTTGTCATCTAAATGGACGAGAATGTTGCTGTGATTTTGTTTTTGAAGTGCCTTAGTTTTTGCTCATTGCTTTTGTTGCTTCGGTGGATCTCCCCTCCCTGGCTAATCTTTCTGATTATCCAATACCCTTTTAGATTTTGTTTCATATTTATGCTTTGATGAGGAGATTTCGACGATGTATGAGGATTTCTATCCTCTCTTGCATGCTATTTCAGTGTTGACTCCTATTTTTCTGCTTTCTTTTAGGCTCAAAAACTCAACTCTGATGGTATATTGTTGTACTTGTTATTGTTACTTTTGGATTTTTTAAGTTTTCAGTTTAATCTGAGTTGTGTTTATTTTCATTTTTTGTGCAGTATCGAGAGATTTTGTTGAAAACTTGTCAATTCTTGTAAGTTTTTAGTCTTCTTTAGTCCATGTATTTATATTATTGTTGCTACTTGTGATTTGTTGATTAGTGTTGTTGGTCCTGTTCATTCTTTTGTAATTAAAAAAGATTAGCTTTAGCAACTTATAAAGAAAGGAAAAAGCATAAGCTTTTGTATAGTTAAGTTCAGTTATGCATCTTTGGCACCATATAATGGAATGAGAAAAAATCAAGGGTACCATCTCTTGTCAAATTCTTCTAAGCATTGCACTAGTCAGATGATAGCACTAGCTACAACGAGGCTGTAATTGAATTTGAACGGTAACTCTAGCTTAAGCTTAAACAAATAATTCATCATAGAAGCAACAGAATCAAATTACCACTTTTTTTTGTCTTTAGCAAATAGCAATTGTGTGGTTGTTAGTTTGACTTAAAAGCTTAATGATCATAATGTTGCACGTTAAAGTAGTTTCTGGAAAGTCTCCAACACACTTTTGCTCTTTATGTTGCGTTATGGTCCAACTCTTGTCAAAGAAGTTCCTATGTTGTGAATAAATATAACATAGAGTTTAGGTTGTTTGCAAAGAAACAGAGGCCGTTTTTGGATGGAGGTCTACTCAAAGTAATATCTTTATTTCGCTTATGTTATCTTCCTATGAGACATGGTGCCTTATTACTTAGCTTCTGAGGATAGCAACATCTTGAATGATATCCTATAATCCAAAATGCTGTTCAGAGTTCTCAACCTTTTCCAGTTTCTCTAGAAAGGTAAATTAGTGACACTTTTGTTTGATCCTTTGATGAATATTTGTTCTAACTAATTAGATAATTCCAGGATATATTCAGGTAATAACACCAATTTTTCTTTCTATCCCCAACTTCGGTCTAACCAAAAAAAAAAAGCTATTCACCTTTATTTGATCTGGGAAATTAATTATATACAGCAATAGAAAACTTATTAGAAACAATGAACCAACAACAATAGCACCATCTATTCATGACTTTGAAAAAACAAATCACGTGCATATTAAAAGAGTAAGAATAGGAGACCTTAAATAGGTATAAAAGGAAAGGAATGCTTCATGATACATTTAGAAATATAGAGGGTCAGGCAGGGGATGGAGAAGGAGCTGGAAAGACAATATGAAGAAGCAAGGAAATTTTTCAAATTACTAGAGGAAGGAAAACAAGAGTTATATCCGAGGAAAGATAAGCATGAACTTTGTTTAAAGGCATGATAGAGCACAGAAAGCCAAAGAGATAATGTACAGGCTCACATATGAAACATTATTTAGGAAGGCAAGACAATAAGAAGAATAGAGTATCAGATGCCATGTGGTTCAGATCATCAGACTAATTATAGGAGTTTAGAATAACAGACTATTTCACATTGAGTAAGCATGCTTCAATTGTGCAAGTTAAGTATGAATAATGTTTGCTTGTTTATTTGCAGAAAATTTCTGAAACCAATATCGAGAATCAAAAAAAGTTGAAGCATCCACACACTACTGGCAAAACAAGTTTTGCTCAAATCATCGAGGTTTGATTTTATTCTATTATTTTTCTTTAAGTATGAACTTGCTAACTTTGAATGAAAACATTATTATACCAGTTTTCATGTTACTAGGAAAAATAAAGAAGGAAATGGCTGATACTTCGGATACTCTATCAAGTAAAGATATCTTTGTGGCTGCAAGAAAAAGAAAACATGGTCGAGTATACAAAACTCTTATGAGAGAACAATGAGTAAAATTGTAAGAAATTTCTAGTTTAAAGATTATCATGATTATTTATTTGTTCTTAATTATCGACTTAGTTTTATTTACTTATACTCTATTCTCTTGCACTTGGTTTGTTGGCTGAAATGGAGAGAATACAATCCACTCAAGAAAGTGGAGATGGTATTGATTCAGTTGACGCGTTTGCATCAGTCATGGGACCTGAGCACCCAGGTCGGGCAAGATTGTATGGACGAGGAGTCAACAAAACTGTCCTAAAAAAGAAAAAAGGAGATTTTGGATCCTCTGTAAATGCTACTGATGAGAGAATGGAACAAAAAATGGAGGAAATGGAAGAGAGAATGCAACAAAAATTGTTGGAAAAGCTCAATACACAAAAGGAAAAATTGCTGGAAGAGCTCAATGCACAAAAGGATGCTATGGAACAAGATATTACGATGAACGTCGTTACACGACTTCAACGTCTCAACCCTGATTTAAGACTTGATCCTGACATGCTAATATTCAGTGCTCGTGCACCTGGCGAAGCTGCTTCTGCACAATAAGGTGCTATTCAACCAATCAATCGTCCATCCGCTGGCAGTAACAACCAAGGTTAGTCCGTAGCAAATGTTACACGTCTTCTCTTTCCTCTTCTTCTCCTCTTTTTTATGTTGCTTCTCACTGTGCGCTCTCTCGCTCTCTCTCTTTATCAGTGCGCAAGAGTTCGAAAGAGTACTGTCATTCCCTATTATCTTTGTTGATTTAGATTTCATTACTTCTTTCACAATAATTAAGGCTAGGAACAAAACCATGAATGGAATTAGTTCATGGTTTTGCTCTTTCCGTTATATGCTCTCCAGTTTTAGCTATTTTGGGTTTTGAATGGCATTAGTTCGACACCTATTAACTACTAGTTGCCGCATAATCCAATTGTATGAATATTGTCACACCTCCTTTTTTTTTCACACCTACCCCGGAGGATAATGTATAAGGGAGTTTTTTCCATTTAAAGTGACATTATTCGAAATGGGATTATTTATTTGATTTTCAGAGTCGCCACTTGGGATAGGATTGGCTTTTGGTGTCCCAAGTCACCGGTTTAACTTGAATTCCAAATCGAGGAAAATTTCGACTTCCCAATTGGAGTCTGCGAACCAGAAATTCTGAATAAGGAATTCTGTTGACCCGAGGGAAGGTGTTAGGCACCCCCGGATCCCGTGGTTCTAGCACGGTCGCTTAAATTATTATAATTGGCTAAAAATATGATTTTAATACATGTTTTAACTTATGTGCTTTTTAAATTTAAACTGCTTTTATTATTTATTTTTAAAGAGAATTGCAACGTCGTGAAAACGCGTCTCGAACCACGTCACATAAATGCACCCGCGGTTTTTGACACATTTCGACTTCGTTGAGATTTGGATTTGGGTCACATAAATGTGCACCCGAATTTAGGAAGGTAGTATTATTAAATAACGCGCCTAAAGCAACTAACGCGTTTTTAACTTTGCGAGGACCATGAAAATTTGCTAAATGGCACAACCCGAGTTCTAAATATTTTAAAGGAAATAATTAAAGAGGGCCACGCATTTGTGATTTTATTTGGCGCGGCACGCCTCGATTCTAAAGTACAGCAAAATTAATTACTTAACCAAATACTTGAAATATTCCTACCAAATTTTATCTACAAAGGCTTCTTATTCCCTCGAAGAATTTACATTTACCACAAATTGAAACGTGACTAAAGGAGATACTCCAATATTCTATTCAAATGTGAAGAGTTGAACATCAGAATATAATTGGAATACCAAATACTTGAAATACCCATACGAAACTCAGTTACGAGAAGACAATCATCATTTGACTAAAATCACCACAAATTGAAAAAAAAAAAAAAAAAACAACCAAAGAAGGTAGTACACTGTTCAACTAAAAGAACTAAAGATCAATTTTTGCCAAGGATATTAGTGGTGCTTAAAGTAGAAGCTTCTGACGCAAACGTTTGGCACCTAAAAGTGGTGCTTAAACTGGTTGCTCGGGGACAATTTACCGTTTGTTCTTCAACATTTATCAGAATTCAAAGATATGCGAGAAGACAAATGACAAGTCGCCAAAGTCAAATGAAAATACCAGTCCAAACCTCAAACCAAAAAAATAAAAATAATAAAACTCAGCATGATTAGATAACCAACACAGTGTTTATAGCTGAAAACAGGGACCGAATTAACAGCCTAAACATGTGAATGTAATTGAACAAACTAAGCAACTTAAAAGTCTAGTATGGAGTAACAATTAGCTTATGCACACATAATATCAAACAAATAGATCTCTTAAGCCATGGAATGGTTAACGACATTGGATCCATGAAATTGGAACAGATACAACATTAAACAATCAACATTTTTCATTAATTTAAAGTAAAGAGAGCTGCTATTGGATCACATCTATTAAACCAAGATATCTCATACTCAGCAAGTGAGCAAATTCAAAAAAAACTTTATAGTATAGTAGTGTCAAAACAGTAAGTACATTCTAAAATCAAGGTAAATACCTCAACAGCTGCAAATAAACTTTGACGAACCAAACCAAATGCCGGAAGTCAGGAAATCGGAACTCAGCAACTTTGCAACAGCAGCAAGCACAATTCAACCCATTCCTCTTCCTTTGAAATATTTATTTCACTTTGGATTTCCAAAAAAGTTTTCGTTTCAGAAGTCTTCTCAGCTATTTCTTATGCATTTTTTTTTTAAATTTTCAGATTTAAGATTCCCCTTTTGATTTTTTTTGAAAATCCGTTTTCATCTGCTAATTCATGTTTTGGAACGCGTGTATGTATGAAGATGAGAGAAGAGCAGGCGATTTGGTTTTTCTTTGTCAAAGAGAAAAGTTTCTTCTTTATTCTTGTGTGATGAAGAGTAGAGAGAAGTGGGACGGCTGGCTCGTTTGGAAAAATGGGATCCCCCTTTCTCTATGTATTGAAGATCAGAGAAGAGTTGAAAAAGAGGAGGAAGCGGCGCTTGTTGCTTTTTTGTTTCTCTCCAAAGTGAAGGTCCTCTGATGTGTGTCCAGGTCTAGGAGCTGCTAGGTTATTTTAATGTGGAGGGGGGTCTTGGGCTAGGCGGGTCGGGTCGGTTTTTGGGCCTGTGTGGTTTGGACGATTTTGGATAGTTTTTAAGCTGGGATTTGGGCCTGTGTTGGGTACAAGAATTAGCCCAATTCATATTATTTCCCTCTTTCATTCATTTTCCTTTTTTTTTCTTTTTCTTCTTCTTTAATTAAAATCCTAAAATTAAAACATAGATTATCTAAAAAATGTGAAATTAAACTAATTAGCTAATTATAAAAATTCTAAACCTACTTAAATCTATATTAAAAGTGGAAAATCAATAAACAAAAAATTAAAAAATAAAAAAAAATGTAAAAATGAGCTATTTTTTGTGATTTACAAAATTTTATAAAGCAAATGATTATGATTAATTTTAAAAATTTAAAAATAAATCCTAAATGCCATGAGTGATATTTTTTGGTAGTTTTCACGATTTAAATAAAACTTAAACATGCACAAAATGTGATCCATTAATAAAAATCTACAAAAGTTCCTACAAATGGCAAATAATTAAGAAAAAATCTATTTTCTTGGGGTTTTATAGGAGTATTTCGTATAGGGCAAAAATCACGTGCTTACAAATATATTAATGCGTCGTAGGTGCCGCATAATCCAATCTCGTGTGTAAAAGGCTCTGGAGTAATAGTAAGTTGGAAACAAACTGGATTTCTCATAATTGATTAAATAACCTCATGGTAAGTACACCTTCAAGGAAGACAAATATACTTAGGCCAACAGCTGAAGTTCTTGCTACATTATCCCCAGCCGATAGAGCAAGAGCGGAAATAGAGAAAGGATAGATCAAAGGGAAAGAATAAATGGTGGTAGAACCATTTTCATGGCATTGTTTCTTGGCTGTAAGAATACAGACTACTGGTTCTTTCTGCAGAAGAATAATAATGTGACTCAAGCTCCTTAAGGCAACCAACTGCTTCCTCTCCAATTCTAGATAACATGCATTTTGTTTTCTCAGCCTGTTCAGTAAATTCTTCTGTTCTCTGCTCAGCATGATCATTTAGAGATGCAAATCCTGAAAATATAGTTGTTTGCTTCAACTCTGACACCAACTTAAGCAGTGTATCAGCTGCTTGGACCTGTTGTTTATGCATCTAATACCATTATATGAGATACCAAGGGAAGTGTAAAATCAGAAAAAGGCATATAAGAATAGGGGAATATTGTTTTTGAAGTATTTTTGCTTTCCATGTCTTGTTAGAGTTAAATAGCAAATGTTTTCTTTAATCTATTTTGCAAATCTCACTTTATACTCTTTTGTAGGTGGAGTAGATGAAGAGATGGAAGACGGAGGGAGTGATGAAGATCTAGACCTTACTTGAATTTTGAATTGTTGATTGTTGTAGATGTGGCGGTTTCTAGGAATGTTTGTTATCAAAACATTTTAAAACTTTTGATGTTGAAATATCAAATGTATGTTATTGGTTTCATCACTATCTATGGATTTATTATTAACTTGTCGGAGAATTTGGATTATCAAAAGTTTCATTTTGTATTTATATAAATTTTAGTGTTTTATAGTTTATTGTATATATATGTAAAATCTTTATTTACAACAGGAGGCACTATTTTTAATTCAATTAAATTGTTACAGCTAACAAAACCATTGCCATTGGATCCGAAAACCGTTCCAAAATAGTATAAAAACCGTTGCAATAGGTAGATCAACCATTGCCATAGGACCTGCAAACCGTTCCAAAATAATCTAACAATCGTTGCCATAGGATCTGCAAACCGTTCCAAAATAATCTGCAAACCGTTGCAATAGGTAGTTCAACCGTTGCAATATCTTAAAGAAATCGTTGCCATTTCTATTATACCTGTAACGATTTTGATAAATGTAGTAACCGTTTATGACCGTTGCATTTAACTTTATGGTAACGGTTATTAACCGTTGCAGTTAATAAGAATAATCGTTCCAATAGGAAGAGGAAAAACCGTAACGATAGACTATTCTATAGCAACGGTTATCGGAACCGTTCCAAAAACCGTTCCATAAACTTTATAGCCACGACAGCTTGTGGAACGGGCGCTGAACTGTAGCAGTACATCTATGGCAACGGTTGTCTTACCTATTGGAACGGTTTTTCCTGCGTAGCCATAGGTGAATTTTCCAGTAGTGACAACACAAGCAAAAACACTACCTAGTTCGAAAATATCAAATCTCATAACTTCTTCTGCCAAAGACCGGACATCCATAGCCCAAATGCGTCCCCTGCGCTTGAATAAGTACCAACTCCCAATCATGAACCAAATAATTCTCCTCTTGAACCATTCTCTATATTGATACATAAGTGAACACTATACTATTCTGCACCAACACCGTGTCAAGACCCATCCGTGGAGCATTACAATACACTGTGTATGGCATTGAACTCGTGGGAAACACCAACACTAGGCTGAAATGATCAAACACCCTTCCATGAGGCAACAATTGTAGTATGAATGAAACATATCCCGCACCATGTTTGTAGCATCACCATGACTTGTCGGTGGCCGACTGATATTGCGTGCTTGACACCGCACACAAATGATTAGGAAAGAACTGAAGATATATGCTTCCCGCTAAAATTAAATCGCAAAATGAGGAATCAAGAAAGAGAAGTTCTCCTAACAATCCTACACCCTCTCGAAGATAAGTACAGATGTCTCCGTACTGACCACAAGACTCTACTAGGATTTCTCATGGACTTAAATGATCCTAGTGTTATGATACAAAGCTATCACGACCCAATCCCTATCATACGCCATGATAGTGCTCAACGCTGTCGTTAGGCCAACCAATACTAAATCAACACACCGATAGATAATTAATAACATATTTTGAAACAAATAATGAAATAAATAAGCGAAATCGCTCCATTTTTATAGAAAAATAATAACATTATCTCCAATGTTTGAACATGACCAAAATATAAATCCGAATGTCATAACAAGAATACAACCATGAACAGTGGTCCAAATTTCCAAACCAAGTGTCACAAGTGCCTGGGCATATTCTAAAATATACAATACTACAACAACTGTCTGGTATATAGAATTGCTAGAGTACAGCAAATGAATAGGAAGGAGACTACGTGTGCTGCAGATCGAACCATAGAGAGCGGATCACCATAATGTCTCCTCAGCAGCTGCACCTACACGTCGATATGACCACCAAATGTACATGTCTCAGTACCTACATAATTAATGCAGAAATGTAGTATTAGTATGTAAATCTCAATGCATACCAGTAAGTATCTAGTCTAACCTCAGAAAAATAGAGGCGAGGGTCCGACATCTGCACTTACTAGTGTCCAATAATCAAAGTACAATACAACTAGACAGGTGTGAAGCATAGCAAATAAAAGAAACAAAATAGATATATGTGTATAGCACGATTCTCAATAGAAGAGTAAATATAAAATCCTCAAATATCGAATGCTACCTCGAATGGAATATATATGACCAATGTCAGGTATAAATGTCAAATATCTGAGTCAGGATACACATATATGCACCAATTCATCGAAATATTATGCAGGATTCTGTCGAGGCGAACGACCCAATCCCATAAGAGTGATTGTAGAATATCCCGCTGCGGCCGTACGACCCTCGACGACCCGATCCCATAAGAGTGATTGTAGAATATCCCGCTGCGGTCGTACGACCCTCTCCCATAATACCGCCGAGGTCGTATGACCCAATCCATAGATGCATCTCATATTAATACTGAGGTCGTAAGGCCCAACCAATAGAGATAGTTTATAACACTTCTGAGGTCGTACGACCCAATCCATAAGAGTAGTGTTGAGGCGTTCAACCTGATCCCATAAGAATAGTGAATCTTTTGACGAGTCATCAGTCAACTCGCGAATATATGTGCGAGTTATGAAACCAATAAACTTTCAAAAAAAATAAGTGCAATGCGGGGGTAATCCGTAAGAGAAAGTATATTTTTCATGATTAATTAAGTAGCGCACCAAGTTTGTGGAATAGTAAAGCTCGATACTCTATGTAAGTCTAGTCTTAAGCTAACACATAATTAAAGCATTTAAAGAGGGAGGAATAACAGAAGTAGTACAGTTAAAGCATGGTTTTAGTGTACGTCTATCCGGACATATTCATGAATCAAGCATATGCATGGACGCTCGTCATCTCATACGTGCGTAGCTCCCATAACACATAACACATAACAAGTATAGCATCCACAGGGGTAAATTCCCTCTTACAAGGTTAGGCAGAGACTTACCTTGTTCCGTAAATCGATAATCGGCTCCAACAAATCTCTAACATCTCGAACCAAGCCAAATGACCCGAAACTAGCCAATGGAACGTGCAAACCCATCAATATATGCTCAAGATCTCATAATTAAACTATTTGAATAAACCCCACTCGAAAAGTCAACAAAAGTCAACCCCAGAGCCCACGAGCTTGGGTTCTGAAAATTCTCGAAGATAAATATTAACCATAGCACCACAAACTCAAATAAATAATTTATTCCAAATTTCGTGCTCAATTATGAGGTCAAACTCAAACGTACAATTTCTAAGTTTTCTTCCAAAATCCCATAATTTCAATATATGATCCATGTATTTGTCACGACCCTAAATCCTAACCCAGTCGTGACGGCGCCTCTCGTGAAGACAAGGCCAGCCGACACACCTCCAATTCACTTTAAACAACTAAAACAATAACTACTAAGTCTTTAATCAGAAATAAAATCCCAAAATGAGCATTTAACAGTATAATTTGCAGAAATAAAAACCAACACAGCCCGACATCGGGGTGTCACTAGTCATGAGCATCTACGAAGGTCCGAATAAAACTAGAGTCAAAAATGTGCTAAATACGGTCAAATAAAATCGAGAGGGAGAAAAGCAGTGCTGCGAACGTCGGGCAGCTACCTTGCTAAACTCCGATGACTCTGCCTCTGAGCAACCAATACCCACTACCGGGT